ACATCTCACAACCCTTTGGGCCTTCAGGGCCTGGTACAGGGATAGTTTTTTTTTCTTTATCACCAACAGATTGGAAGACTGCATTCTTCTGTGAACTTCCAAGCAAACGTCTCGTAGATCAAACATCACTAAGGCCTGATTGTGTTCAGAAATCATTTGTCTTGTTTGTGCTGTACATGATCTTTGTTGTTTGTATGAAAGTTATTTCATAGATTTGTAAATATATATTCATTTCACTCCAGTACCACTGGTAGAGGAATTTATTCTGCAACTTTTAAGGCTAAATTGGCTCTGTTAAATGCCAGCATGGGGGTTAAATACTGTTTATACACATAGCTAATTAGTGATTGAGCTTTTATATAAATTAATTTTTTAATGTGATTTGCTTTTTCAGGTCCCTTTTGCTCCTTCTGGGTTTAAGGTTCGATACCTGAAAGTGTTTGAACCAAAACTCAACTATTCAGACCATGACGTTATTAAATGGGTCAGATATATTGGTCGCAGTGGGTTATATGAGACACGTTGTTAATTGTAGAAGGACTGGTATAATTCAGACATTAAGTCTCAACAGGAAATGTAATAAATGTCCAGAATGATATAGGAAGCAAGAAGGAAATGCCATTCCTATTAACAATTCCATGTGGCTAATAACAAAAGATACTAATGTAAAATGTCTCTCTGAAGGCCTTGAATTAGTAAATGTCAAAGCTTTATTTTTTCTTTGGATGTAAGCTTGTTTCCATTAGAATGACTAATGTTAATTGTTGCAAATAAAATTAAATGACAGTATTTGGTTTATTGTTAATAAGGTAGAAACAGTGTATGTATATGTAAATGCTGATTTGTCATGTAGTATGCAGTGTTAAATATATAACAAAGTGTTTATCGTCAGAGATCCCCAAACTGTATTGGTGTCCCATAGTTGATTACAGAGCAGATATGGTGGTTTAGAAACAGAACATCAGTACATGCATGTAGACATGTACAGTGATCATGTCAGTTGTGTGCATATTGGTATGGAATATGACAGTGTTTCGTACATAAATGTTGTGGGAAACAGAAGTCATTGTGTATTGCCTTTACAGCATTGAATTTCCTTGATTATGTTAGTAGTATGGACCATTGATTTTGGAATGGTAATAATGAAATTATGGATAGTGGTAAGTAAAATGAGTAAGAGTACACTCACATCTGCAAAGATATTCATGAATCTGAACATTGCTTAAGCTGTAGCTTATTTTGCAATGTTCAGAACATGATGTGGGCATTTACTGGAATTATGGCAGGTTTGAAGATGAATGCAGTTGGTTGTTCCATTTAGATTGCAGTTTGAGTATTGCTGATATGCATATTTGATACTGATGCTTCTGTTTTTAATGAGAAGTGTGAGCATAGTGGATGCCTCCTGGTATGTATGGGTGATGTTAGATCCCAGCATTTGGAAATAAAATACTTACAGTGCCAGAAAGTGTCAGATTATCTCTGTTCCTGCCTTTCCAGCATGTTTAAGGGATAAGAATGAGAATTTGTGCAAAGGAATAGCTTCTGTAAGCCATTTTGACTTGGGTCCTGGAAGAGCTGATGAGCTGTGACTTGTAGGCTGAAACATTGCAGGTGTGTGCATTTGAACCATTGACGTTTGCATGTAGTATATTTTTAGATTAATATATTTTTTGTGATGTATGATTCTAGTACATTAGTGATAGTTATGATGAAGTGTGGCACACTGTTGCATCTCAAAATTGAACAGCACGGATCATATCTGCATGTTTTGTTTAAATGTTATTACCACAACACTGTTGGTTATGTGTACCGATTTTGTACTAAAGCCGCTTCTGAATTTAGGGGATTTGAACATGAAGTATATAACACGTGTTTGAATTTGCCCGCCAAGACAGTACTGTGGTTCATACAAAGTGTTGTGAAGAGAGGGTTTTCACAGCCTAATAGTACAAGCGGATCATGGATACGTGTTGCCTTGGCATTGTTAGTAGAGTATGTATAAATGTTAGCCAAAGCAGTGTTTTGCATAAACGTCTGCGTCTCTTCACAATTGGCAATATATATCGGTCAAGAATAAATAATGTCTTCCATTGTACAGGTGCGACAACATGATGTAAATTATGGCTATTCGTAAGATTCATTGAACTGCCTAGGTATAGAATTTTGTAATAAATGCCGATCGAGGTATATGTGGAAATATGCCAGTAGCATACGAAACATGACAATCTAAAGTCATGAGATTTTTAATGTCAAGTTAAAAATTTGCACGGTTGGTTTCTCGAAGTAGTGCATTGTGGGAAGTAATGTGGTGAATTTCGTCAGGAAGTCAGGAAAGTGGTGTTACGGGATGGATATTATTGATACTTGGTAAGTACATGAGAATTTTTAATTAATTTGATGTCATGTGTCGTGCATTCATTATGTGACTTATTTCTCTTTGTGATATTACAATTAGAAATATTTCATGTGCTTCGAAAAGTTGTACTGATTTTGTGTCATCAGCAAACAACGTAATGACATTTGCAAATGTGTTGAAAAGTGTATTTGAAATATTTTTAGTTAGTGACGCAGGATAAACGTGGCATGTGATGGCCTGAAGTGACGTATTTTTTTAGTGAAGTTATATAGACAAATAATTGCAAAGAAATGTGCAGCTACAGGTGTGTCGATAACTTCATGTATATGACAAATGTGCCACTCCTCCTTTTCGTGTTCCGTATCAGGATGAATATTTGTGCAGGTGCAGTTTGTGAAATTATGATATAATATTTAAAGCAGCGTGCGTTTTCATGCAACCTTATTAATAACTTCGGATGTTTTAGCCGTCTTTTGTCGGATAATTCTAGATACGGAAACTGTTGTAGGTTATAATTCACAGATATGAATTAAACATTAACATATGATCCGTAATCTTTAAATTGGCAATAATTGGTTCGGGTGAAAACATAGATCATTGTTGTGAGGTTTTGAATTTTTATTTTAATTTTTTTCAGTATAATATCTTCGTAAAATCTGTCAGAAATCTTAATCTAATGAGTGTATATTTGACAGTCCCAACGAATATTTCAACAATAAAATGTGTAGTATCGTTGACTGTCATTAAAGGTGTTACAAGTGTAGGGCGAGGTTGGTGATCTGTACTGCTTAACTCTAGATTATCTACAGGGTGATTAACGACTAATGTCTTAACTGCAAGAGCTTATTGGTGAGCTTATTCCAAATCGGAAATGATAAGTGAACATGGTCCTGTTTTCAACCGTTAGGGCGCAGTGGGTGTTTGAAATAAGGACTGGTCTTGATGTAGGTCATGGGAGTGTTATGTTGGCGGCACTGCAACTGAATTCTCGTGGTACTTTGCAAAGGAATTTTCAACTTTAATTCGGTGTAAATGTGTGATGTGGTATGCTGCAGTCATGTTATGGGCCCCCTTATCTTTGGAGGTTGTCTTACAGGTGACGTCTACAACTTCTACGGAACAACCTCTCGGACCTGTTAGAAAATATACCTTCCAAAAGCGATTGCATATGCGGTTTCAGCACAACAGAGCGCCTTCCTCTTTTAGTCATGCGGTGAAAACGTTATCACAATCATCGCTTCCCTGGTTGATGAGCCCGTCTTAGTGGCCCACAACATTGACCACTCAGATCTCCAGATCTTAACCCTCTATTTTTTTTTCTCTCTGAGAGCACATAAATTTTCTGGTGTACAAGAAAAAATTGGAAACACGAGGTGCAGTACTTCATCGCATTTTGGATGCTGTAGTGGACATTAAAGACAATGCTAATGAAGCAGTGCTAGCTGCATCCTCGATTCACAGGCGAACCAGGATGAGATTTGAGGCTGAGGGCGGTCATTTTGAATTGTATATTCAAAACTTTATGTAAATAGCTTTTCATTTATTGTTATTTCTTTAACATTCCGTTGAGAATCGGGCCTAGTCTAAGGTGCTGAAGTTAAGACAGTTATGTCGCGAATCACCCTATATATATCAACAGAATTGTTCTTGGGGAGATTACTACTTCTCCACACCTAGTGCGCCTCGGCACTAGCTGGAGGTAAGTGGTCAGCTTCACGCCCCGGCCAATTTACCCCCGGGGAAAGAGCCCGGTACCCATTGAATAGAAGGTTGGGTGGATCCCAGAGCTGGCCTGGACGACGTGGAGAAGAGAAAATTCTTAACTTTACAAGGACTCCTTGGTCGTCCAGCCCGTAGCCAGTCGCTACACCGACTGCGCTATTGCAGGTCCTCTCAAATTTCCAGTACCACTTCATAAATCTGTGAAATATATGCCGCACTACCTAGGTGCATAATTCAGAATTTTATTTTATGATGAATGAAATAGTTTTGTGAATTTATTTTTGCAGTTCGATGTATCCTGATTTGAAGATAAAGAAAAGCCTACTCAAGGCACGTCACATATTTCTGCTTATTGAGTTATGCAATTCCTGTGCAGTTTTTCATTGTAATACTCGGTAGTCGAATGAGTGAAATGTGACACGCTTATACGTTCGTACACAAACCCATAATACTCGTATTTCTTGCGAGCGATATTCTGTCTGATACTTTTCCAAGCTCTACTAATATCGACCTCAGTGTCCAAGTTTTCCAAAGCTGCGAAACTGTTTGAGATTTCAGTACGATACTGCCCTTTTCCCTCTATCTCGTTTAATTTCTTGAGATTGAACCTCTCCATATGAACTCTGTGAGTTGTTTGTTTACTCACTGCCGGTCTCTTCCTAACTTTTTCCACCACCCGATAGTGGTCAGTATCACAATCTGACGATTGGACATCAAGTATACTTGAATGCCGTCTCTGTCTATCAAAATATGGTCAATTTTATTGTGCGTCTTTCCATTATGAGATGTCCAAGTAAATTTATGGATGTTACGATTATCATTACTAATTTCGTGTGAACTCTTATTCCCAATTGTTGGTTTGAAAATGTCTTCTCTGTCTACTTTGGCTTTGAAATTAACAAAATTTTCATATGATATTTAGGGAAATTGTCGAATACGTGTTGTAGTCCTTCGTAGAACCTGTCCTTCATATCATCAATTTTATCTTGGGATGGGCCATGAACATTCAGAACGACGATATCACACCAGCGAACTCTAAGTATTATATATGGCATCCTATCACTAACAAACTTTACCCTCTTAACTTCTGATATGACTCTCTTATGTACGAAAACACCTGTACCTAATTCATGATTCTCACTCCCCTTTCCATAGAAAAATATATATTTGTCTGGTTCAGTGTCACCTCCGTTCCATCTGACCTATACTCCCACTAAATCTAACTTACAATCTGAGATTTCTTTCGCCAGTGCCTGCGCGAACCTGCCCTATACAAACTTCTAACATTTAACATACCAAATTTCATATCCATTTTCTTTCGCTTAGGTCGTTTATCCAAAGAATCCGTCCAAGTCCGAGGCTTCTTATGTTCTTTCGTAGCAAACTTTTTTTTTTTACTAGGAGAAGTTGTTAGCCCCACTCCCAACTTCCGAGCTGGAGGAGGCACCCCTTGTCGCCCCCCCGCCACTGCTTATTCAATATATTCGCGGCTTCCCTCCATACCTGGAGGTCGTCTCCTCCATCCGCAGCCTGAGGACGCGCCATGCCGTGGTGACAAGGGACCCACCTAAGATGCCTAGCATTCAGCACACTTGCAGTAATTACGGAGGATCGGCATCTATTGTTAAGTCTCAAATAAGAGTACAAGCATTTTAAAGTAAAATTTGTAGTATATTTAACCTCGTTGTTTGTACAACAAATCCTTTCTTTAAAATAACGACAAAAGCCAAAAGTGCGGCCTGCCTACCCTCATAGTTCCGTAATAAATTCTGCAATACGCCCTAAAGTGTTGGACAGGGGTTTCCAACTGTTGGTTCGGACATCTGTCGTTGCTGTTGATTAGGAGAAGTTCTTCACTGCTGAATTGCAGCTGTAGTAGACCAGTGAATTTAAAATAACAATATTTCGCAGAATTTTGCTATTTCAAGGAAGTTATTTTTTATTGAAGCATTCTTAGTTTATGTTAGCGTGTTTTGGATAGTAAAGCCCATCTACTTTGCGAACCAGGGCACATCACACCATGTGTAAGCAGTCGTTATGAAGAGACGTCAGGTGTAAATGTGTTTGTATTTCCTACCAGCGTATGATTAGCGGAAGTGTGTTGAAAGTAGAAACGCATAACTTTTCAATGATGACGTAACGGTCTGCGTCACTAAGGGCCCCCATACATACACACAGTTTGGCCTCCAGTTCGGCCTGCACAGTTGAAGACTGAAAGGCAAAACTGATGTGTGTTGCGGCCGGCCGGCCAATCATTTGGACTGTTGGCCTGTGGGAAACCCCTCAGTCCGTCAGTTCTACCTGCAGGACCGTAGCACGTGACGTGTGTGACTCAACATTATAGGCTGGAAGACCGTGATTGTGGCATGAAGCTGCCGGTTTATCTGC